GAGCAGATGGTCTGAGTCGCTTCCAAGCCATCCCTCCATCTTCGTCTTCGTGATCTTCTTGTGATTCGTCTTTTTCCTCTGTTGAGCACGCGTTTACTAGCCTGATTGCCTGGCTGTTAGACCGCGCTCGATAGTCCAAGCTTGTGGCTTCTCTGTCGTTGTATTCTTGACAAATACACTCTTCATCAGGATCTCCGTGACGATACCATTCTTGGCCTGTGCTTTCTAGAGGACTGTAGCCAAAAGACTCTGTCGTGTATTCAGGTTCTTGTGGGTTGTAGTGCTCTGCCACTCCTCGTGTAAAACTGAACACGATATGACCAAACACCTCTATCAGTGTTCTGTTACTCATTGCCCCGTAAGAGAGTCGAACAAAAGGTGATAACCTTGAATTTGGTCCAAAGGGAAAAAAACGCAGCCAGAGGATGTAACATCTTCGTGTTTCCTATTTCCTCCTCATTTCCGCCTCATGTGATCAGTTTCGACTCCAAAGTGATGTGAAAGACATCATCGTGATATCAGTAAAATCAGCAAGAAACCAGTTGACTTGTTCGGTCGCAAAGATTCGTAAGTAATTTCAGCTGTAACATCCTCTGCACTCGAAAATAGTGACTCGTCGAACGTCGACGATCATTACTTATGATTGATTGAACTGATAAAGTTTTCTCAAATCCAACGAATAATGAACCAAGCACTGCACTTGTCTTTTCTTCCTTAAAGCTGTTAGCGTGTTAGGTCCGAAACTCTCAATAAAAATCACCGAGGGTTTTGATTGCACTTCTTACAATGTAATCTAGAGCATAACTTTCACTCTGTTTAAGATGTTTTACGTAAGAAATCGTTTCCGCGAATATCATGCATTACGGTAATACTTTGTGGGACCAGAAAATTCAGACCCATAGAAAAGTTGGCAAGACCTTCAGAATCATCAACCCTGATGATGAGAATATGTCGAAAACGTTTGGTTGGGTAATAAATCTTCTTTTTAAGTTTTTAGCCTTGTATATTATCAATTTGTATCGTTTACTATTTTCCAAAATAGAATGCAAGGAATTGAAGGTTCCCGGCTTGGCTTTAAAGAGGATCGTAGCCAAAGACTCTCATAGATATTTTTACTTGTATTTCATCACGGCAATTATTTCCCCGATAATTTCAAACGAATAGAGCCTTTGAATAATACTGAATTTTCAAAACTAAACTTTATTTACTATAGTGAGAATCGAAAAATACATTACGGAAAGTGTGCTTAATTTTATGGCAATCGCAGCACTCTGTCTCAGGCACAGAAAAACTAAAAGAAATAATCTTTTTGCAAATTCAATCGAAAGTCAGAAGCCATTGATTAATTTGAAATTGCTATTTTAGCCTAAATAAGACGCTAGCACAGAAACAAAGAACTAGAATGAAAGTTTTGCCGTAATGATGGCGTGACACTGAAAGAGATTTTACATTTAAGTAATCAAAATATACGAACAACTTTCCCTTCCCGTTGTTTTTGTTTTTTTTTNATACCCACGACTACCTCTAACTATAGTGCCTTTGGATAAAATAACTGAAAACTGAACTCGGTTAAAAAAAAAAACAAAATCAACCAGCTAGTTGAAAAGAAACTAGCATTTTCTCGTTCTCCATAACTTTCGCCCATGTTTCTATTTGATAATTAGATTAAGAGCTCGGTTTTTCTAAGGGGTAAAAGCTGAGCCGAATCAAGTATCTAATCATTTAATAAAAAGGAGAGCGAATAATCTAATTGTTTAAGTAAAAACCCGACAAAATTTCCTTCAATTAAAATTTTTTAATATTTCCGTCTACCTGTACAAATTTTAAGTAGTATTAAACCCTTTACCCTTTGGCAAAGTCAAGCGCGACATGAATTGTAGTTTGAAACTTACTAAGCACTTAATGACTGGCCCCCGCGGGAAACAGTGAGCTTTGTTTCCCCGAGACCCTCAATGTTCCCGAGGTTGCGGTCAAGGGGAAACAAAACTCACTGTATCCCGCGGGGCCAGTCATTGAATGTTTTGTTATACTTCTCAACTCAATAATAAATTTAAAAAACCGCAAAAAATCAATTTGCTTTCTGAGGCCGGCTGGCACACAAATTTGCCGCGGTTTTAACGAATCACGACCTGATTACGTGCGAGTCGTTAGTTCAAGTTGTTGTTTCCCTAGGGAGTTAGTGAGTTTTGACCCACGGTATACGTTACACGTTCTCCTCCAATCGGAAAACGTATTTGGGTTGGAAGGTATAACAAACCTGTGTATTCGCACTCATCAGTACATTAAACAATTTTGCGGTTTTAAAACGTCGCAAAAGGGGAAAATTCCTTTCTTGGCCTTCCTAGAAATTAAATTATCCAGTAATATTTCTAAATTAATAAGAAGAGGAGAAAACGCCACCATTATGTAGAGGAACTCCAGCCAATTCTCTCTAATTAACAATTTGACTACGAGCGTGAGATTTCTATGAGCGAATAATCATCGAAGCGTAGCCGAGTGGACTTTCGTTCATAGAAAACGGGGACGAGTAGTCTAATTGTTTTAGTAGACACTCTAATTACAGAGTAAAACCTTCCATTTTTAAGCCTAAAATTAGAAAATGACCAGAGAACCAATCAGATTGGCGGATTTCCAATATAACACACCTGAGTGGCTACTTTTTCCTGATAGTGTACGTTACCTCAGCCAATCACATTGAAGTATTTGTAGTGGAGTAGAAATCTACCAAAACTCGATCAAAAGCGGAAAACGCTTTCCATTTGTTATTTTACGATAACTACAGAAATTCTCGCGCGTAGAATGGCTAATTTTCATTCTCAATAAGCGGACAGACACATGAATTCATATTTAATGCGATGCGTCAACGAGCGAGAGCGGACAATTTAACAACTTGTTATCGTAAAAAAAAAAATTGATTAAAATTATGACAGCTGTGAATATTGTCTTGTCAGCAGGCCGGTGAGATTTAAATATGTGCAAGAGTACGAAGTCTTACGTTGGTGCGCCTATCACCTTTGCCCTGATTCTGACTTAGACAGCATTTTGCAGGCTTGATCAGTAACGATTAAGCTAATCAGAACCCCCTATAACTAACATGGTAACAAATGCAAAACAATCTTAAAGTACTAAATCTTAACATTTGAGTATAAGCTTGACTACAATCCATCAAATATTTCGCTCGCGCGTGATTGGTCTAAACACGTTAAGTGACCGAATATTACCCAGCTAAAACTGGGAATATCCTAGAATAGCTGCAAATTTTTCCTTACTCCAGACACTCTGATATTCGATCCAAAAACTCGAAGCCGATGTCGAAACAGAACACTAGGACGTTTTGTGTTAATTAGTACATTAACACATTAGTTGATTGTTCACTTCGATGATGGCGTGAAAATTCCCAATCACTTCCAAGCCAACAACCAGAATCACGGGTCTCTGCAGTCAGCGGTGTGGTATTGTTCGGGTTGAGCAGCTTGTAGCTCAAAGTCTTTGTGATCGCTAGCTTTAAGCCAACGGCATTTCACAAGGCTGATTGGAGGGCACTTCAAAACGCTCATGTGCCATGTCTAAAAGGTTTGCGCTAACCCATAGGGCTGACGACATAGTAGCTACAACTGCCATTAAAATGTGTCTTTTCCATCTTCTTTGCCAAGCAGCCATTACAGCTATATTCTGATAGCGAGTCTCGATCGCTAGAGACACGCTGGTGAAAAACCACTCGATCACCAGTTGAACTGAAGTTGTGATAGCAAAGGACCGTAGCAGTTTTAAAAGAGAATATTCTTTTAAGTATACATATTGATACAAGTACAATAATCCGTTAACAGACACTATAGCAGTTGATTCGAACAACATGCTCATGACTGCGATATCAGCCATTAGTCTCTCACGGCGAGGAGTACGAAAACTTCGCCAAGGAGCTGATGTCCGTTTGCAAATCACATGACAAATGTGGTCAATCAGAATCATTGTGCTTCGTTCTATAACTTCTGTAGCGCCGTGAATCAATCCAAGAACAGCCATGGATTGTAAACTGTCAAGATCTGCTTGCAACACTCGGAACATAATCGCTGAGGCACAATACAATGGCGCTAACAGGACACACGAATATCTTGGATGGGTAACGTTGCCTAGCCGCTGAACAGAAATTCGTGAGATTACTTTAAATAAGACTCCAATGAGAGGAGCAAAGAGTGCGATTACCAGGCGTAGAATACTTTCCTTGCTTTGCACGTTACACAGAGGATAAATGATAGCGACCACAGCAACGGCAAGAATTATAATGGAACAGAGAGGAGCTGTCATTTGCAAGAACAAAGCCAGCTGCTGTCTCCTTGTCCGTCGCAGACGGAAGTGATTCGTTAGAAGATAGGCTTGAACACATACACTCATAAAGAAAAAGACATAGAGTGGAAGTTTTTGCAAAGTAGAAAGCTTGGAATGAGATATTCCCAAAGCTTGTAGAAACACTCGATAAGTTGAGTCCAAGAAATATGTGAGGCAAGCAGCCAGGATCAGTTTTCCTTTCACCCCCATTAATTGATACCGGCGAAAGAGAAATAAGGTGTTCACAAAGAAGGAACTGTATAGGAAAACACAAGCCACTGCAGCAGAAATTGATCTCATCCATTGGACGTTTACTGGAAAGGATCTCTTTGGGTAAAATTCACAGTTGTTTACAGTCTTAAGACATAGATAGCAGCTCAACATGTATACTGAACCTATGATTGTAGCAGTTAGTAAAGAAATCAAAGCTCCAATGTACATTGATTTACAAACCGTTCTGAGAGCGGATGGTCTGAGTCGCTTCCAAGCCATTGCTCTATCTTCATCTTGTTGATCTTCCTCTATTTCATCGTTCTCCTCTGGGAAACTTGCGTCTATAAGGCTTGCATTAATTCTGCTAGATCTTATGAAGTCTAAAGTTGTGGCTTGTCTGTTGCTGTATTCTTGATAAATACACTCCTCGTCAGCATCTCCGTGACGGTACCATTCTTGGCCTGTGCTCTCTACAGGACTGTAGCCAAAAGACTCTGCCGTGTATTCAGGGTCTTGTGGGTTGTAGTGCTCTGTCACTCCTCGTGTAAAACTGAACACGATATGACCAAAAACCTCGATCAGGGCGTTTCCATTCATCGTGTTTGGTTGGGAGACCAGTTGAACAAATATTTCAAAACCCACCTAGTTTTTTGTCAGTGCAGGAGCCCGTTTTCTAATCGACACCTGGTTAGTGATGCTCTTAGGGGTACAGCAAGCAACGTGACTGAACTTTGGTGGCAATCTGCATTTGACAAACTATGTCTTCCGGTGATATTTGTTTTTCTTTCGTTCGAAGCCTTCTGTCGAGAAATCAGCGGGCCGTATAACTGTTGTGTCTTGTGAAGTTATGTTTTCAAATATTCACTTTTTATGAACACTTTTTTGTTCCGCCTGTTAATTACTATATATCTACTAAAACCCTCAATTTTCGACTTTAAAATCTAAGTAAAAAGCAGGTGGTCAATAATGATCTATCTATTGGCTGTTCATGGAAGGGTGTTTTACTTGGCAAATCATAGGGTACGCATTTTCGTGCGATTCTAGAAAGTCTTTTTCATGCAAACCAAGGAAAGATCTCCCTGTATGCCACATTCAAATTTTCAAGCCGAAAAAATTGAATTTTATTTGTCGATATGATAACATGGCAACTTCATGAATATTTAAGCTAAAGGAACTGCGGTCTTTTCAAAGTGTTCTCAAACATCTTTCAGTGGTTCGAACTTGGCTGCATTTTCTGTTTTTCTGTCAGTAGCTGGATCGAGGCACGTCATTCCTCTCTCGACCCTTGCGTCCACGGATCGAAACTTATTTTTCTCTCAGTTTTTTCAAGCTTTTTGTCCAGCATATGCAATTGTGCCTCGAGTTAAGCTAACACAATGAACCCTAAACACCTCTATCAGCGTGTTACTCATAACGAAAATGTTTGGCTCGGAAACTGCATCAGTTGAATGTACTCTCAAGAACTATAGCTACTCTTACTTTTAACTGAATAACTGAAAAATTGCGGGGATTCCAAAACGCTTTTTAAAAACTTTGGACAACCACTTTGAAAACATTACTTATCAGGAGATCAAATTGACGTGACTTATTGAAGTACATGAAATGTTGAACAAGGTATCATTTTTGTCCGAAAATCATCATTAATTTTTTTTTGAAAAACTATTTGATTAACATTCAGCTGAGGAAGTTTCAATCAGTGTCGAAACTGTGAATAAGAAAGAATCGTTCAATGCTTATCGCTGTTGCTCAGCTGCTTCAGTCAAGTTTTGTCTGGATACAATGATTTGATCGACGCGTAGGTCATTCTCGTCTCCGGCAGAGCCAACTGTCACTCTTAGCTTAGCACAAAGGAAAGATGGCGCTGAAGGCACAAGATCAGCTAGTTGTTTGAATTAATAAGAGTTTCACTGCCGATTATATATAAGATGGACATGTATAGACATGCAGCTCTAGATCTGGAGACGTGAATGATCGTAGCCAAGAATAAATCGAGATTTTCGAGTGCTATTTAAATTTTCAAGTGTATCTATAACTCGATATACATCCAGTTAACAACGTGAACCTGTTTTTATAACAATAACAGGGAACCTGAACTGTCTGGTTGAATCTCTCTGTTCGAATTGCTGGTTTTCAGTGTCACGCAATTCAAAATAGATCAAAATAAAAATTAAAACCGGTCAATAGATAAAGTCCAGAATCTGGGAAATGAAAGAAG